CTTGAGGTGGGCAGTATGTATTATTATATAGCAAAACACAGAGAGGTGGAGCGACTAGTCCAAAATCAGGTGTGCAGCCACCACCACACCACCTGGCCCTTCCAGAGCCAGGGATACCACTCAGCAGCAGTTCTGACCTTCTCCCAGTCTCTTGTATCAATAACCACTAGACCGAATGTGTTTTCCAGAGCTGGGAACAGAACACTGTCTATTTAGGTATGTGCTAATATGGCTCTGTTCTTGTCTGAGCTCTTCACAAGCTTTCAAAAATACAAATAAGTTGATCACTCTTTTTTTCTCTCTTCATCTTAGCCTGTAGGCAAAATAGCCTGATTAATTCAGAGGGGTTATTGCTTGCTTGCTTGTTTGTTTGTTTGAAGTGGGAGAGTTGTATGTGTCTGAAAAACTAATCGAGGAGAAGATAAATTGAGGAAATTTTGGATTAATGCAGAAAGTGGTATTGTTCTGATGTCCTGCTCCAACCAGTAAACTGTGCTCTCCCTCCAGAAGGAAGTACTAGTATTATCCATGTACTTTGTAGAAGGGTGACTTTCACTCTCCCTGGTATAGACAGGGAACTGAGATACAGAGGGGTGGAAAGGCTTACCCAAGGTCAGTGCCAGAGCTAGGAATGGATAGGGTTACCATATTTCAACAATGAAAAAAGAGGACGGGAGAAGTCCCCCCCTAGCCCTGCCCCCATCCTGCTCTAGCCCCGCCCCTGCCCCTTCCACTCCCTCCCACTTCCCACCCCCCTCAGAACCTCCAACCCTCCCCCCCACTCCTTGTCCCCTGACTGCCCCCTCCTGGGACCCCTGCCCCTAACTGGCCCCCAGGACTCCCCCCCTACCTAAGCCTCCCTGCTCCTTGTCCCCTGACTGCCCCGTCCTGAGACCTTCCCCCCATCCTAACTGGCCCCCTAGGACCCTACCCCCCTACCTGTCCCGACTGCCCCAACCCTTATCCACACCCCCACCCCCAGACAGACCCCTGGGACTCCCATGCCCCATCCAACCACTCCCCACCCCCTGACAGCCCCCCACCCAGAACTCCCAACCCATCT